CCCCGTAAGACATAAAATTGAATGCATTTTTACCCTTTAAAGACAATCTCCATCTCATTCTAAAATATGCCGTTTCCTACATTTTTAATGCTACTAACACTTAGATGTTTGCACATGTGTCTTTAATCTCTATGTATCTGATGATTACTAGGCACATTCGCTTACACTGGGATCCTTAGTACCCGAGTATAAAGTCATCAGGTAGATTTCACTAGTAATGTTTATCACCTCTACTATTTAACATGAAGTACATTTTTATGCTTCTTCCTCAAATGTCTTTTTTTTAATTTGTTGATTTTTCTGTGTGTATATCATATAGAACATCCCACACAATCTTATTCATCTATATACCCACTTCCCAAATGTCACCCTCCCATAGCCTCCCCGCCTCCCATATACTGGAGCCCACATACTGTCATCCCTGTTACTGTCCTCTGTGTTGTCGACACCCCCAGCCATTCTCCAGTGCTTGTCTGTCTGCTGAATCTAGTCAGCCTATCAAGAGAGCCTTGTTTTACAAAGATCAGCTGTTCCTCATCTAGCAGCAATCAGTTGTCAATATTCCTTTAGATTTGAAGTCTTACATCTGAGCAGCACTTTCTAGTTATGAACAAAACCATCAATGAGAAATATTGTCTAAATAACTTTTTATATAGACTTAAGCCTAATGTCTGGGAAGTGCAATCCCTTGAACTCTTAAAGAAGTATACTGATGACTTTACTCATTGGTTATACTTTCCTTTGGGGTGTTTGTTTAAGACCATGCAGTTGGCCCAAATAAATCAATTTATTTTTACACTTAATGTCATTTGAGGATCTGTTCCTCAGTGGTCACATGGGCTTGGGAGGAGCTCCTGGCTTCTTTCTTTTACCATTTCTAAATGTGAAGATAAGTCAAAGGTCCTGCTTGACCATGTTTGGCTTCACTTGGAAGCATAGAGGAAATGTTTTCTCTGAGTTGACTCTCCTCTTTGTAGACTGGACACTGGTTCAGGTCCATCTGGTGGAGTCTCCATGGCCTCTTTGCTCAAGAGGACAGGTGACTCACCACAGTTATAGGACATTTTGAGAGATGCTCATAGTCTCCTGGAACTTAGTCGACCTAGGAGGGCCAGGAGCAAAAACTGCCTTTATGTCCCCCGATTGAATTAGTGTAGGCCTCAAAGTATGGCTGTTAAACATCCAAGAAGGTTAGTTCCACCAGTCTGGTACTTTTAATGATCATACGCCATATAGATAGAGCTTGGGCAAAGACCAAATGCTCTCAGATAAACCTTGCCTAGGCATAATTCTTTGATTTGGTTGTATGTATAATTTGTCAGTAGATTTTTGGCCTAATATGGTTCACTCTGGTTTTCTAAAACTAGCTAGGCATCATTTATCTCTCACATTGTCTAACCCTTCCACCATGGTTTCCCCATTTAAGGTGCCCCCATTTTTCCATTTATCCCTTCTCCTATGGTCCCACTCCCTCCCCCCTCCCCTTAAAATAACCCCATTATTGTCCATATCTCCCTTGTTAACACCTGTTTTCTACTGTTCTTCTCTTTTAGATTCTTCCTTTTCCTTTACCTCCCTTGTTCCTTTTCATTATCCTTGTTCCTGTAGTTATGTCTGGATACATACTCACTTATCAGGATTTGGTACTAGGAGCCACATATGAGGGAGAACATACATTGTTTTGTTTTGTTTTGTTTGTTTTTTTTCTGAGTCTGTGTTACTTCACTTAGTATAACAGTTTCTAGTTCCATCCATTTACCTGCAAATTTCATGATTTCATCTTTCTT